CCAGCCAATCGCAGTGAGGCTTCTGCGAGGGCTCAGCCAATGGAGAAGAGGATCCCCTTCGCCCCTCCTCCCGACCCTCCGTCTTCCTTCAATCCCGCGAATTTTCTCCCTCTGGAGCACGCCTCTTGCGGTCGGGGCCAATCGCAGGTGCCGGGAGGCAGGATTTCCGCTGGCGGGAGGCGGGACTTCCGCCGCGCGCACGCACTGACGCACGTACGCACGTACCGCGATGCCGCATTTGCCCATCTTTCCGGAAAGAGCCAACCTTGGCGGTGGGAAGCCTTCAGGAGGTAGCCGGTCCATGATTCTCTCTCATCATGGATGTTTCTGTCCCTCTCTCCCTCTCCCTTCCTCTCGGAAATCAATAATGATATATATTTTAAAAAAAGATTCGCTCAAATATCACATCACCCCCCAGTTCTACCGCTACAGTCTCGCCCCACTTAGATAAACCCTTTATTCGTGAACTATAGGCCGGATGCACGAAATTCGTTGCAAGAGTAGGCCTTCGCAGCCCCGGCTTCGGCCGGAAGGTCGTTCCGACGGTCCTTCCGCTGGTCGGCTGTTCGGGCCATTTGCATATCACACTTTGATTATCTCAGATACGGTGACCACGGTGCTGCTCCCGACCTAGCACATCAGAGCCGCCGGGGGGCGCTCGTGAGAGCCTCCATTCCTGGGAGCAGCCAAGTTTGGAAATGAATGCGGCCGGTGGGCTTAGGATGCAAAGGGAAGCGGATGGGCGATGGCTGACTTTTTAAAAAAACTTTCCGTCTTTACGAGGAGACCAAACCTGCAACCCGGGCAGGAACTGGCGACCTTTCAGCGCCTGGGAGGACCCTCCACCCGCTGAGCCAGGCAGGCCTTACTCTTTTAAGCTTAAACGGAAAGAGCCAAGCCCGGCCGGTGTGGCTCAGTGGTTGCACCTCGACCTACAACCAGGAGGTCAGAGTTTGACTCCAGGTCAAGGGCACTGCCCCGGCCCTAGTCGGGACCCATGGGGGAGGCAACCTATCGGTGTGTGCCTCTCACATTGATGTTTCTCTCTTTAAAAATCAATGGAAAAATATCTTCAGGTGAGAATTAAAAACAAAACAAAATTATTTTTAATTCCGATCGACCAAGGTAGAATACAGTTCCTCATGTTGTGACCCAACCATAAAATTATTTTCGTTGCTACTTCATAACTCTAATGTTGCTACTGTGATGAATCGTCATGTAAATATCTGATATGCAGGATGGTCTTAGGCGACCCCTGTGAAAGGGTCGTTCGACCGCCAAAGGGGTCGCGACCCACAGGTTGAGAACCGCTGATATTGAGCCTTGTGATGTCGGCCTGTGGGGGTCCCTCTGGGCTGGTGGGTGGTTTGTGTCAGCGCACCTGGGTCCTGACTTCAGCCTGGGCTGCAGCCCCTCCCAAGGCAGGGGGCCCCCATTCCCACTCGGGGGGTGGCAGCCCCCAATTCCTGCTGGGGTCGGGGCAGGAACCCGGAGCCCTGCCCGCACTGTTCATCCAGGTTCCCCCAGGCCACCTGCCCACCCCCCCTTGGGTCGGCTGGAGCCTCCTGGAGGGGATTGAGGTTTCTGTTCACAGCCTGAAGGCACTTCTCTAGGGCACAGCCACTGGTGTGGGACCTGCCTACCAGGAAAGACACTTAATGTTTGCAGAATCTGCCTCCCAGTCGGGTGGGGGCTGGTAGGAGTGGGTGAACCCCTGAGAGGGGCAGTGCATGGCATACCCACCCTGGTGGGCAGGGCCCCGTGGAGAGGAGACCCGCGCGCACGCCCTTGTCCCCAACCCTGGCCTGCGCCTTTCCCCGACCCTGGTGGGCCACCCCCAACCCAGAGAGATGTCCACTCCGGCTCTCGCATTTCTGACAACAGGTGCATTTATTAGTATCAGAAGTACAAACGTAGGAATACAAATACAGCCAGGCCCAGCTGCCCTCGGCAGGGCCGGGGCGGCCCGCAGTGTGCGGCGGGGATCGAACTGGCGAAGGGGGCGCCCGGTGCCGCCCGTGTCGCCAAGGCACGTGAGGCGCAGTGCGCCTTCGCTTCACTAGGACACCACGAGCTGCAGGGCGAGCCGAGGGCGGGGATCTCGGAACCGCCTGGCGGGACCTCAAGACCTGGACCCAGGGCCTCTGGGGCCTCGAGATTGGTCGGATGGGGAGTGGGGCTGGCGGAGGCCACTTGGTGAGGGTGGGGACCCTGGCCTGGCCCTGGGCCCAGGTGCCTGGGGTGGGGCGGCAGGCACTTGGGCAAGGCGGGTCCCCTCTCTCAGGCCAAGCCCGGCTCCATGGCACACTCGGCACGGGTTCCAAGGGGCTCTCCGATTCCCCGGTCTCTCCACCCTCCTCCCACCCGGGCTGGCAGGAAGGTTTCCCGGGAGGCAGCAGCGAGGGGACCCCATGCTCCCTTCCTGCCTGTGCCATCTCCCAGGGCCCCTCCCAGGCCTGCTTCGCAGAGAGGGCAGGCCTCACAGTGTGGGTGAGCCCCACGGTGCCCCACGCGACCCGAGGCTTTCCCGCCTGGTCCGGGAAATGCGTCCTAAGCGAGGGTGGCGATGGCTCTCTCCGCCACCTACATGGTGAGAACTGCTCTGAGCTTATCATGAAACCATGATGCACAAAAAGATCCAAGGAAGTGCCCGGGGTGAATTCACTCAACAGGCATCCCGGTTTGATTGCAGATCAATTTCTCATCAGGTATTTAAGCTCCGTCCTGGTCCTCCCCCCATTTCTGGGAAATATATAGATTGTCAATCTCTCTCTCTCTTTCCCTCCTTCTCTTTTTTAAATATGCTTTTTTGATTTCAGAGAGAGGAAGGGAGAGAGGGGTAGAAGCATCAATGATGAGTGAGCACCACCCATCAGCCGCCTCCTGCATGCCCCCTGCTGGGCATCGAGCCCACAACCACGGCGTCATGGAACAGGTGACCTGGTTCCTGGGTAGAAGCTCAAATGCAGAGCCACAGGGGCCGGGCTCTGTCTTTTTAACCGAAGGCCTAGGAAGCTAACCGGCGATCACTGGGAAACTGGGCTCCTTTCTACTTCTTTCAGCTACAGGTGGGGAGGGGGTGGAGTAATACGCATGTGAAGAGTTGGTTCCGTTTTTACCACTGTACACACACACACAAGTACACACATCACCGCATGTAAACACAAGACAACCCAGGCCCACTCCTGGAAAAATGCTACTCTCCTAGAATCTTCCACGAAAAGAACGCATTCACGAGGAGTATCCCTTGAGCTCAGTCTAGGAGCTGCTCGTAAAGAAACACAGATCATGGTTGTACAAACATACGAATGTAAACATTGTTCACCAGCACAAAATTAGTCATTTTGAAGGTCAGGATGAGTGGGAGTAGTCTTTTAAAAATGTGTTAACAGTTATTCTAAACAAAGATAATAAACACTGTAAACTTCACCGATATATTATGCCTGTGTCTATTTCTATCTAGAAGTAAAAATTCCAAGATAAATTAGGGGGAATCCAAACCTAAACTCAAGATTGTATAAGAAGAAGCATACTGATTGTCCTTTTGGGCTAATGAAATCGGCAGTGTCCACAGATGCATCCATTTTCGGGGGAAAAATAGATCGTTCTTGGCCAATTCAAATGTTATGTTTATGAAAAGGAATAAAAAAGCCAAGCGAGGTAAAACCAAAACAACAACAACAACCGGAAGTAACCAACAATCGCCAATGAGGTGGGACGTCCCATGTGAATAATTTCAAATTCTGGTTGAGGCCGAGTGAACAGCCAGGACTGCTGGGACCAGGACCAGTCTGGAAATGTAATAGGCCAGTAAAAATTTGAAGTGTTATTTTTGTAGTTAACATTTTAATGAGGATGCAAGTGCCATTTTCTCCTTCATGTAAGTCCTAATTTTTTTTTATGGTTGGGAAAGAAAATGAAGCCTTTCTGCTGACTCAATAGTTACGGAATAGGATGGGCCACGAAAAGGATACGGATCATGATGATGATGGTGTTGCTGCCGCTGACGGTGAAGATGGATGGTGGTGATGATGATGGTGATGAAGATGGTGATGATGGTGGTGGTGATGGTAAAGAGAGGGTGGTGATGGTGAAGATGGATGGTGATGAAGATGGTGATGATGGTGATGAAGATGGTGATGATGGTGGTGATGGTAAAGAGAGGGTGGTGATGAAGATGGTGATGGTGGTGATGGTGGCGATGAAATCTTGTCTCCATCCTCTTGCAAATAAGACATAAAACCTGGTGTGAAACGCAGGTGTCCGTGGGGCGTGGAACGTCTACAAGACGTGTACTATTTGAGCTGAATGTGTTCTCTTTAAGGCATATGTTGGGTTAATTGGGGGCAGTATTTGCTGGGTTCAGAGTAAGAGTAGCGTGATCTTGTCTTAGCATCTGACCATCTTCTGGTCCTTGGTGTTGAGACTGGGCAGAAAGTGGAACTTTCTCGGCTCTGAAGGGCATGTTGCTCTCATGGCATTCGTGCGACATGCCCTTTCCTCTCTCTCCCTCTCGGCCCGCAGGCAACTTAAAATAGAGACAGTCACAGATGTCTGTGTAAACCACAGCGGTCGGGAGGGAGAAACCCTTGTCAAAACGCAGAACAGGCGCCTCCTCGATGTAGGGTCCTTTTACGAGCGAGGACCACCGGGTGCCCCTCTGGGTGGAGGCCGCCCCGACACCTTCCCCGAGCGGCCGCACGGCCACCTGAAAACGTTTCCCGATCCCCCACGCGAAGCGAGCCGTGGGCTGGAAGGGTGTCGGGTCTGTGTGGAACAGCATCACTGTGGGCCTCACGCGGGTGCCAAAGGATGGCCCTTCCACCAGGGACCTGTGTTCCTCACACTCTCCAGTGCCCTCCAGCAGGTGAACGCACACACCCTGACTCGAACAGGCACGCTCCCCAGCTCCACCCCCGTCTTAACTGCACGCCATTCTCCTCCACCGTGGACTGAAGACCTCGTCTCGGGCGTGGAGATGGGTAAGGAGAACTCGAGTGGGAAGCCTGCTGAGGACCAGGCAGGGGCATGGTCCTGGCGTGGGTCAGCCCCTTGAAGTCAGCCCGGAGCATGCATTGCTGTCGGTGCAGGAATCTAGTTCGTGCTCAACGCGTGAACGTCGACTGGGCACTGTCGAGATGAAGGCGCTCCTTCGTGGAAAAGGAGCCACGTGTGAACCGGCAGGCTGGGGGACGCAAACAGAGGTTATTGGTCTGCACGGCCAGTGAGCATCATTTCATGAGCATCGCCAACAACGCCCGGGTCTTGCGTGGCTTTGAAAGGAGAGGCATCCGTAAAAACAATTTTTTTTTTAAGGTAAAATTGGGTCAGGTCTGTGTGATTAAAAAAAAATGCGTGTCGGCTACTTTCCTCCCAAGAAGAATTTCACTGGAAAATTCCATCCCTCCAGAACTTCGTTGAAGGTGCAATAGGTGGAAACCCTTCACACGGCGAGGAATGATAAATCCGTGAGATTGGCAGCTGTGTTGGAAGAGGACCGGCCTCGGGCCCGCCTTCCCTGGGTGCTCGGCACTCTGGTGGGACATGCTCACGTCCCGCCCGGCCACGGGGGCGTGGGAGGTGGTGGATCCACCGACGGGTGAAATTCTCAAAAGAGCAGAATTTTCATCGAAGCCAAGAGATCCCGCCAGTTTCTCTGCAAACATTTATCAACTTACTTTTAAAACTGGATTTGCTAAGTAGAAGCCAACTGGCTTGCGGTCTATGGGGCTCGAGTGCCTCACACCACAGACCTAACCCTTGGACACTGGGTGAACCTACACCCTGAGATTTTCACTCCCTGGATAGGCAGTGAAGTCATCAAAACAGACAGATTCCTCTATGTCACCCTTCCCGGCCTCTTCCCCTCCCATTCCCTCCTGGGTCTGGTCAGCATCCAATAAATGGTGTGGAATCAGCACTTTTCTGTATTTTCTCTGCATCATGGTTTATCTTTTCTTTGTTCTGAGACACAGTACGTCCAATAGATCACTAAGCTAAAATCCTATGCCTGCCAATAGAATTAATGCAACTTTCTGGGCAAGAAGCACAGAGATTCTGGTCCTAAAATTTTAGCATGGAAATTAACCAGCTGGTAGGCCCTTTCTTTTTTGTTTTCCTGTATGTGGTGGGAGCTCCGGAAGCATCTGGGGAAGTACACACGGGCATCCAGTGGGGAAAAAAAAAAAACCCAAAAAACAAACAAACAACTAACATCACGAAGCGAGTTGGTTTTGTTATAAAAATATCAAAAGAGTAATAATTTCAGGGAATCGTTTCTTTGGGCTTTTGCTAGGTATCCATATTTCAAAGTATAAAAGCATTTTTGTGCATCAAAATATATCACTAAAGACAGCCGTTTCCTTTTTTTTTTTTTGGCATCTGAAGTGATCCAACTTGGAAGTTAATATGCACTAAGAAAATCTTTAAAATTGTATCTACATTTCGTTCACACGCTGGAAAACACGTTTGAGACAGGCGTGGGCATGGCGTGTGCGTCGCTTGGAAAGATGGAGATGATCGTCAAAGCGTGTTAGCAGAGCAGCCGCAGGACACACGTTCCGGGGTTGCCCCAAGCGGTCCAGTCAAACAGGACCCCGGGCACAAAGCGGACGCAAGCCGACCAGCCCAAGACCCCACGGCTGGGACGCCCCGACTCCCAGTGGTCTGCAGTAAAGCGATGACCTTCTGATGCTCAGTGATCATCAACATCGTTGACCTCAGCCACATGAAAACCTTTGAAAATCCGATTGTTTCCTCCACGGGAAACCGAGGGATGATGCATGTACCCCCTCCCCAAAGGAATGGCAGCTAACCACGGCGGTGCCGGAGCAAAACAGGCCACAGAGCGGGGAAACGGGTTCGAAACTCACCACCGTTCACACTTGAACCCGGGCTGCCCCGAGGGGTGGAGGGGGCATGGGGCTGAGGGCAGTAGGAGTGTGTCTCAGCTGCAGTCACCCCGCACACGTGGGTGCTGGTGCCGCCGAGGGCGACAAAGGAAAGAGCTGGCCGGTCGGTCGGGGTCTGAGAGAGCGTCTCAGACATTTGCTTGCGTCTGTGAAGAGATTTCTTTGCAAGGATAATCGGAAGCCACTTCCAACATCCCGGGAACCATTCATGAACATCACCAAGCTGCAGGTTCAGGAGGGGATTAGCAAGAATGTCCCTTGAAAACCCAGTGTGTGTGTGTGTGTGTGTGTGTGTGTGTGTGTGTGTGTCTGTGCACGTGCGCGTGTGAGGGTGAAACACATAATGAGCATATTTGCCGTGTTCTCCCACGCTGCTCAGAGGTGGGGTGAGGTGTGAGGGCAGGTAAACCGAGCCGCGCCCTCCTTGCTACTCCGATCGGTCACTAGGGGCCTGGGAGGGCGGCAGGGAGCGAGGGGAGCCTGGCACAGTCCCTCCTCATCACCGGCAACGCTCAGAGATACAGGTACCCGACCCAGTAGACCAGGTTGAAGAGCAGGAACGACGTGGGGAAGAAGACGCGGGAGTACGCGTCCAGCTCCGAGATGTCTATGTGGATGCGCCCTTTCCTCCAGGACCCGGATCTGCACTCTTCGTAGCAGCAGAAGAAACTCTGACAGTCCTTGCCGTCGAGACACTCATAGACGCAGGTCTCCTCCAGTTCCTGCCAGTACAGGGAGTTGTTGAAGGTGACCATCGCGGGCGGTGGGGGCCGCACGTCCAGGAGGGAGTAGTTCTGCGGGGCGACAGGGACAGCACGAGAGTCACTGAGAACAGGCAAGAGGAATGAAGCAACAGGCACGGGTCCCCCTACCCCACCTCGCTGCACTGGAGAGCTCAATCTCTGAGGATTCAGTTTTTGCAAATCGAATGCAAGAAACAGCACGGTGCATGCCCGGCCGGCCAGTGTGGCCCTATGGCCCAGGAGGTCACAGTCGGGGCACATGCCCAGGTTGCGGGCTCCAACCCCAGTAGGGGGCGTGCAGCAAGCAGCTGATTGATGATTCTCTCTCATGGATGTTTCTATCCCTTTCTCCCTCTCCCTTCCTTCCTCTCTCTGAAATCAATTGAAAAAATAATAATTTTAAGACAATGGAATCCTCGGTCTTAAAAAAAAAATAAAAGGATGAAATCTTACCATTTACAACAGCATGGACGGACCTAGAGCAGCGGTCACCAACCTTTCGGACCTCACGGACCAATGGTTGGCGACCACTGACCTAGAGGGTGTTATGCAAAGTGAAATAAGTCAGACAGAGAAAGACAAATACCCTATGATTTCATTTATATTTGGAATCTAAAAACACACACACACACACAAAACCACAAAATAAATGCACAAACAGAACAGAGAGAGACGGAGATACAGAGACCAGACTGAGGGTTGCAAGGTGGGATGGGGTTTAGGGAGGCGGGTTGGAAAGGGGAAGGGATTACCAAGTACAAATTGGTAGTTACAGAATAGTTACATGGGGATGTAAAGTATAGCTTGGCGAATATCGTCAATAATATTGTAATAACTATATGTGCTGCCAGGTGGGTACTTAAATTATCAGAGGTTCGCTTCATAAATTATATAATTGTCTAACCACTTTGCTATCCACCTGAAACTAATATAAAATGATACTGAAGGTCAACTACACTTGAAAAATAAAAAATTTAAAAATAGTATTCATGACAGAATAATAATATTATTCACAGAAGCTTGTTCATAAGTTTGAGTTCCAAAAACAGGAATATGGATGTTATGTACTAATCCCTGGGTAGAAGGATTATGATTCATTTTTTCCCTTTATTTTCCAAACTTTCTGAGTGGGATATATATTTTTTAAAAGTAAACACATTGCTGTAACCGGTTTGGCTCAGTGGATAGAGCATCGGCCCACAGACTGAAGGGTCCCGGGTTCGATTCTGGTCAAAGGCACATACCTGGGTTACAGGCTTGATCCCTGCTCCACTTGGGGTGCATGCGGGAGGCAACAATCGATGTGTCTCTCTCACATAGATGTTTCACCCTCTGTCTCTCTCCCTTCCACTCTCTCTTAAAAAAAAAAAAGGGAAAATGTCCTCAGGTGAGGATGAACAACAACAACAAAAGTAAACGCTTATTTTTGGTAAATACATTTTGAAAGGAGGATGTGCATTGTTCTTCAACACATAAGCAGTAACCTATCAGTCTATCTCACTTTAGTAAGAGTTGGCAGAAACATTTGCACCTGCAACGCTATACATACGGAGGGGGCCTGCAGGGTTATCCGCTCATGGATCCACCTTGAGGAGTCTGGACGCAATAACTGTGAGAGAAGCAGAAACAATAATTACAAAACTGTTGTGAACATCTGCATCGTACATCCCCTCGTTAAGAACAATTTTAAAGATATATACCTTTATTGCTTTCAAAGAGGAAGGGAGAGAGAGAGACAGAAACATCAATGATGAAAGAGGATCACAGATCTGCTGCCTCCTGCATGCCCCGCAGTGAGGATCGAGTCTGCAACCCGGGCATGTGCCCTGATCGGGAATCGAACCGTGACCTCCTGGTTCATAGGTCGATGCTCAACTGATCACTGCAACATGGGCTGGACTTACAGGCTTGTTGAGTTAGCTATTTATATCATGTTGTATAAGATCCTTAGGAATATAGATCATTTATCTCAAACTACCCTCCCACTGCCTTCCCCCCGCACCCCCCAAATCTCTGCTCCCGGAACTCACTGATGTTTTCTTCTTCATGATGGCTGGCTTCCTACAGCTGGAATAGTAGTTGAGGGTGGCATACTCCATCAGAGCAGCGAAGACGAACAAGAAGCACACGGTCACGAAGAGGTCCATGGCGGTCACGTAGGACACGCGGGGCAGCGAGTTCCTGGCGATGGTGCTGAGCGTGGTCATGGTCAGCACCGTGGTGATGCCTGCACGGGGACAGGGCCCGGGGTAAAAGGAGCCACACTGGCATCCCTCCACCCCAATACCGTGTTTCATGTTTACTTTATTATTATTTTGTAAAATATTTTTATTGACTTCAGAGAGGGAGAGAGAGAGAGAAAAACATCCATGATGAGAGAGAATCATCAATCAGCTGCCTCCTGCACGCCCCACACCGGGGATGGAACCCGCAACCTGGGCATGTGCCATGACCGGGAATCGAATGAACTGTGACCTCCTGGTTCATAGGTTGACGCTCAACCCCTGGGCCGCGCCAGCCAGGCCGTTGTGAGCTCCTTAAGGGCAAAGCCGTACCTTGCTCATCTCTGCTGGCTCCTCCGGCATTTAGACACATGCTGTGCACAGAATGCGACTCATTCGTGGATGGATGTGTTCATTAACAATACTGAGTATTGGCCTGACCTGGGCTATTTCGTGCACATGGGTCCACACTAACGATTTCTTTGACTTCCTAACCCCATCGTCACTGAAGGGACCCATGTGGAATTCTCCTGTCAGAAAGAATCATCTCCCTTGGCTACGTTTGAGAACGTGAGCGCAGGTCAAGGAGCCCACAGATGAGGTCAGTGACGTGAGCTCTCTATCACCACGGAAAGTCTTTTTCTGAATCCTCTGCGTTAAATGACGCGACACGGTGGGAGTGTGTGTGTGTGTGTGTGCGCGCGCGCGCGCGCGCGCCTGATGCTCACCTAGTGCTGTTCTCGCTGGTGTGGCGTCTTTCTTGATCCAGAATGACACCCAGGACAGGACCACGGTCAGGATGCAGGGGATGTACGTCTGAATGGTGAAGTACCCCATCCGCCGGCTCAGCTCAAAGTAGATGGTCATGATGACGTAGTCCCCTGCAACAGACACGGCCGAAGTTCAGGCCACCGCCTTGGGTTCGGAAACCAAACGTTTAAAGCAGGGACCATCCCGAAGGCTCCGTTCTCGCGACGCCTTCCCGTGCTCCGAGTTTTTGTTGTTCCTCCTCCTTCGGGACGCCGCGGTCCATGGCAGCCACACTCAGGGTGGTTGACAGAAACTTCAATTTCGAGATCACTTCCCAAAAGCCATTTCAAATTGTAATAAGCAAATTAGCATTCCGGCACAAAGGAATCGGCATGATTAAACCAAAGCAGTCAGAGAACACAAATATTTTCCTAAGTCAGTGGAGTGCCAGGGGACATTGTTTCCCGGGGGAAATGTGACTGAATGATGGGTGATACTAAAAGCCTATTAATTTTTACATAAAATTTCAATAAAGAACAAAGCGGAAAAACAAACAGTAGACAGAAACACAAAAGAGAATAAATCACCCCGGCAGGAATACACACAGCCCCCAAGGAACAGCCAAAAGAGCCGGATAACGTATCGCCGGCTCCTGAGCCCAGTGAGATAAACAGAGGGACAATGCCCGCGCCCGCAAGGCACCATTCTTCTCCGCAAATTCGGCAAAGCCGGCTCTTTCCCGACCCCAGAACAGGCTCAGCAGACCCCTCCCCTGGCGCAGAGGTCTGCCCAATGACGGCGTCCCCCTGTGGGGATGAGAGTGAGAGGGGCTGCCGGCCGCGTTCCAGGACCTGACCCTGGACCTGCTGCTGTAGGACAATGGAAAGCTAGGAAAGTTCCCGGACAAGTGGAACAGGGAAACTGAGGCAGGAGAATGAAAGCCAAAAAGCCCTGACCGGTTTGGCTCAGTGGATAGAGCGTCGGCCTGCAGACTGAAGGGTCCCGGGTTCGATTCGGGTCAAGGGCACAGGCCCGGGTTGCAGGCTCAATCCCCAGTAGAGGGCGTGCAGGAGGCAGCCGATCCATGATTCTCTTTCATCATTGATGTTTCTCTCTCCCTCTCCCTCTCCCTTCCTCTGTGAAATCAATAAAGATATGTATTTTTTTAAAAAACCAAAAACCTTTGCAGGCCATATGTAGCAAGACCTTACCTTGAGAACAAAGGGTTAAAACCTCTCCTTCTCAGAAGAGAATACAGAGGGGGAAAGAGGAGGGGAGAGGAGGAGGAATCTGCAACTAGGAAATACATATTTTTTAAAAAATATATTTGTTTTTATTGATTTCAGAGAGAGGAAGGCAGAGGGAGAGAGAGACAGAGACAGAAACATAGATGATGAGACAGAATGACTGATCGGCTGCCTCTTGCACGCTCCCCACTGGGGATGGAGCCGGCAACCCGGGCCTGTGCCCTTGGCCGGAATCGAACCGTGACCTCCTGGTTCATAGGTGGATGCTCAACCTCTGAGCCACACCGGCCGGGCGGGCAATCATTTTGCTCTGAAGGAATAATTAATGAGATCCGATTTTAGAAGAGCAGGCAGTCAGATGTGATTGGCATCACAGAACCTCAATTTTCTTGGTGGGTGAGCAGCTCATTCAACCAAGCAGTGCCTTTCCCCGCACCTCCCGTCTGCGTGAGAGGAGGTGACTCAGTGGGTCTGAGAGATGCTTCGCTCCATCTTGTGAGCACAAAGACACTGCCACTATTTTTAAAGTCCTGACTCTAAAACCCAGACTGATGTATTACCCAGATTGCACTCAGGCAAAATATGACAGACAGCCAAGAAGACACCACTTTGAGAGCTCCTGCTACTGGAGCTATTTTAGACGTGCATTTCTCTTCGCACGCAAGACATAAATCTCACTAGGGCGCCCTGGTAAGGCCTGTCACGTCGAATAAAATGCTAACAGCTGAGTGAGTGGACTATCTAACGCAGAAAGTCACCATGTAAATCCCACGATTCTCCCTCACAAGGAAGTACATGGAGGATATATTTGTTAATCCTTACCTGAGGATAGTTTTTCCATTGATTTAAAAAATATATTTGTTATTGATTTCAAAGAGGAAGGGAGCGGGAGAAACCTCAATGAGAACCATTGATCAGCTGCCTCCTGCACGCCCTCTACTGGGGATCAAGCCCGCAACCCAGGCATGTGCCCTGACCAGGAGTCGAACCCTGACCTGGTTCATGGCTGGACGCTCAACCACTGAGCCCCAAGGCCAGGTTCCATTGGGGTTTTTTGTTGTTGTTTTTTTTCAGAGAGCCACCCCTTTTCCTGTTTATTCCTACCTGCAGATGTCGTCAGGACTTCTGTGGTGTTCCTGAGGCCCATGAAGTCAAACTGATAAAGCCGCCAGGACTTCTGGTTAGCCGTCTCAACGGAGTTCTTCCTCCATCTGTAGATCATTTCTTCTTTGGGGTAGCCATCTAAACACACGGAACAAGTGTGAACACACCTGAAGATGTGGGTTTTACAAAGCATCCCAGGCAAACGTGTCATTCTGACCACTTCACGTACTAAAATCTTAGGCTCGCCTTGCTCTCTGAATTTTCCTGAACACACAGACACCCCAAAAATGAATGGGCAAAGGCCACTGGCCTGGCCATCAGCTGTGTGGACACAGCACACAGGCGCTGTCTTGCTGTCTTATTTCTTTCCCCGTGGAGAGCCAAGCTGTCGTTGACCCCCAAGACAGGGGGTCAGGGTCTCACCAGCTCCCAGGCCCATCACACTGTCCACTGTTCCCCAGAATGAGACCATCCAGGCCTCCGGGAAGTCAGATTTATTTATCTTTTAAAAAAATAATATATGTACTTTTTTAAAAAAATTGATTTCCGAGAGAGGAAGGGAGGGGCAGAGAGACATAGAAACAGCAATGATGAGGGAGAATCATGGATCGGCCGCCTCCTGCACACTCCACACGGGATCGAGCCCGCAACCCGGGCACGTGCCCTGACCGGGAATCGAACCGGCAACCTCCTGGTGCATGGGACGATGCTCAAGCACTGAGCCACGCCAGCGGGGCTCGATCTACATTATTTTCAGATGTTCGTTCAACTAACAGACCTCTGTAGAGATCACCCCTGACCAATAGCGAGAACACACATTCTCCTTCAGGACAAAGGGAGTACCTCCCAGGCCGAGCCATGGACTAGGACACACAGAACACACCCCACGTGAAGTGAAAATTATGGAAACCACCCAAACTTATGTTCTCCAACCACACGGGAATGAAGGCAGAGACGAACAGAGACACAACGGGGGGAAATTCGCCCACATTCGGAAATGACACAGGACGCCGTTATGTAGGGAAAGAGCCTGGGGGAGACACCGCAGGGCAGTGAGAATATCCCCGAGGCGAGAGCAGGAACACACCGTGGGTGTCACACAGCAACACCAACCATGGCGACACCCCGCCCATAGGCCAAAAGGACAGAACGAGCGTGGCGGCCTCGTTAGCCCCCGGAAAAGAACAGTGAGCCAACAAGTGCCCTTTTGAGACAACCGCAGGCCGCCCGTGAGGAACGGAAGGTGCCCTTCCGCAAGCTGACCAGTGACATCTACCAAGGAAAACCCACGGTTCACATCGAGGCGCATGGTGAATGACGGGAGGCTCTCACCCCGGGAACAAGACAGAGGGGTTGGTTCTCATCGCTTCTATTTAAAAATTAAACAGGAGGCCTGGCCGGTGTGGCTCCGTGGATAGAGTCAGCCTGTGGACTGAAGGGTCCCAGGTTCGATTCCGGTCAAGGGCACATGCCCGGGTTGCGGGCTCGATCCCCAATAGGGGGCATGCAGGAGGCAGCTGATCCATGGTCCCCTCTCATCATTGATGTTTTTCTCTCTCCCTCTCCCTTCCTCTCTGAAATCAATAAAAAATATAATAATAACAAGAAAGATTCTGAGCAGTAACATTTCCAAGGGAAACCGCCTTGCACATTTCATGCATGCAAACGGAATTTTCTAGAATTAACCAGGCACCTAAAAGATGCCTGGCGGAGGCTTTATTCAAATGAGTCCTTCTAAACGTGAACATTAATTAACGGAATGTATTCAGAAGCAAAATAGGAATATGAAAAAAAAAATTGGCATCTCATTCTTCCCACCAGCAAAAAAAAAAAAAAAAAAAAAAAAATTGTGGTGGGGAAAGATTGAAAAGAGGACATCTTTATTTAGGCGTACGTGCAAAATTATAGCATCGGAGGAAGAAATAACTCTATTCTGGCGGCAGCTGGGGACGCACATCCCCACTCCCTCGGGGCTTCTCTCTGTCTTAAACCAGCCACGACGTAAGTTCCGATCTGAATGCATTTTTTTAAGATAAGGACCCAATTATGTAGGAGAGTTAAACACGCACTCAAGTCAATCTGCCGAAATGCGATTTACACCCGCACCACAACTTGGAAGATAAGGCCGTGGCTCTGCTCCGCTGAGCATGGGGGCTGGGGGCGGGGGGCGGGGGGAGCTCATTTCTGCTGCTGGCTCACACGCGTTAATCGCCCTCTCTTTTACAAAAGCACAACTTCCCCATAGCTGTGCGTCCCTTCTAGGAACTGGAAACCCTCTGTCGCCAGCTCTGCACAGCAGTGAAGTGGACTGACCGTCCCCCAACGGACACGGTTCCGCTGGGTCGAGGTCTTCCCCTGTAATTTTTGCCTTGATCGTGACCGACGCGGAGATGTGAAAGACGAGCATAGGATGCCGTGGCAGACTTATTGATTACCTCATGGACAATGCTTTATCTTTTATTATTTTAAAAGTGTTAATGATTGAGAGAGAGACAGAGAGAGAGGAGGGAGGAAGAGAGAAAAACACCAGTGTGAGAGAGAAGCATCGACGGGTTGTTTCCCACATAGACCCTGACTGGGGATCGAACCCGCAACCTGGGTATGAGCCCTGACCAGGAATCGAGCCTTTTTGGTGCACGAGATGATGATCCAAGCAACCAAGCCACACCAGCCAGGGCCTCGGTGACGATACTTTTATCTTTTTATCACTTTATTTCTTGCCACTGCCCACACAAGCGGGAATCCTGGGATGTGTCCATGTCCAGCGTGACATCCTTAAACACGGAGGCTAGCCGCGAGTCTAGCCTTGCCTCAGAGCCTCAGAGAGCCAAGCCCACCCCGAAGGGCTGAGCCTCGCCCGGAAGAGCCAAGCGTGACCCCAAAGAGCCGAGCTTAACCCTAAGAGCTGAAGCTGGTCCCAAAGGCATGACCCTCGTTCCGAAGAGCCAGCCTAGCCCCTAAGAGCCAGCCTAGTCCCTAAGAGCCAGCCTAGCCCGTAAGAGCCAGCCTAGTCCCTAAGAGCCAGCCTAGTCCCTAGGGGCCAGCCTAGTCCCTAAGAGCCAGCCTAGCCCCTAAGAGCCAGCCTAGACCCTAGGGGCCAGCCTAGCCCATAAGAGCCAGCCTAGCCCCTAAGAGCCAGCCTAGTCCCTAAGAGCCAGCCTAGACCCTAAGAGCCAGCCTAGACCCTAAGAGCCAGCCTAGCCCCTAAGAGCCAGCCTAGACCCTAGGGGCCAGTCTAGCCCCTAAGAGCCAGCCTAGCCCCTAAGAGCCAGCCTAGCCCCTAAGAGCCAGCCTAGTCCCTAAGAGCCAGCCTAGACCCTAAGAGCCAGCCTAGACCCTAAGAGCCAGCCTAGCCCCTAAGAGCCAGCCTAGTCCCTAGGGGCCAGTCTAGCCCCTAAGAGCCAGCCTAGACCCTAAGACAGCCAGCCTAGTCCCTAAGAGCCAGCCTAGACCCTAGGGGCCAGCCTAGACCCTAAGAGCCAGCCTAGCCCCTAAGAGCCAGCCTAGTCCCTAAGAGCCAGCCTAGACCCTAAGAGCCAGCCTAGCCCCTAAGAGCCAGCCTAGTCCCTAGGGGCCAGTCTAGCCCGTAAGAGCCAGCCTAGTCCCTAGGGGCCAGTCTAGCCCGTAAGAGCCAGCCTAGCCCCTATTGGCCAGTCTAGCCCGTAAGAGCCAGCCTAGCCCCTAAGAGCCAGCCTAGCCCCTAAGAGCCAGCCTAGACCCTAAGAGCCAGCCTAGCCCCTAAGAGCCAGCCTAGTCCCTAAGAGCCAGCCTAGTCCCTAGGGGCCAGTCTAGCCCGTAAGAGCCAGCCTAGTCCCTAAGAGCCAGCCTAGCCCCTAAGAGCCAGCCTAGCCCGTAAGAGCCAGCCTAGTCCCTAGGGGCCAGTCTAGCCCGTAAGAGCCAGCCTAGCCCCTAAGAGCCAGCCTAGACCCTAAGAGCCAGCCTAGTCCCTAAGAGCCAGCATAGCCCCTAAGAGCCAGCCTAGACCCTAGGGGCCAGCCTAGACCCTAAGAGCCAGCCTAGACCCTAAGAGCCAGCCTAGCCCCTAAGAGCCAGCCTAGACCCTAGGGGCCAGTCTAGCCCCTAAGAGCCAGCCTAGCCCCTAAGAGCCAGTCTAGCCCCTAAGAGCCAGCCTAGTCCCTAAGAGCCAGCCTAGACCCTAAGAGCCAGCCTAGACCCTAAGAGCCAGCCTAGCCCCTAAGAGCCAGCCTAGTCCCTAGGGGCCAGCCTAGCCCCTAAGAGCCAGCCTAGACCCTAAGAGCCAGCCTAGTCCCTAAGAGCCAGCATAGCCCCTAAGAGCCAGCCTAGACCCTAGGGGCCAGCCTAGCCCGTAAGAGCCAGCCTAGACCCTAAGAGCCAGCCTAGCCCCTAAGAGCCAGCCTAGACCCTAAGAGCCAGCCTAGCCCCTAAGAGCCAGCCTAGCCCGACCCTAAGAGCCAGCCTAGCCCCGTAAGAGCCAGCCTAGTCCTAAGAGCCAGCCTAGCCCCTAAGAACCAGCCTAGCCCCTAAGAGCCAGCCTAGCCCCTAAGAGCCAGCCTAGCCCCTAAGAGCCAGCCTAGACCCTAAGAGCCAGCCTAGCCCTAAGAGCCAGCCTAGCCCCTAAGAGCCAGCCTAGCCCGTAAGAGCCAGCCTAGCCCCTAAGAGCCAGCCTAGCCCCTAAGAGCCAGCCTAGACCCCTAAGAGCCAGCCTAGCCCCTAAGAGCCAGCGCCTAGCCCGTAAGAGCCAGCCTAGCCCCTAAGAGCCAGCCTAGCCCGTAAGAGCCAGCCTAGCCCCTAAGAGCCAGCCTAGCCGTAAGAGCCAGCCTAGCCCCTAAGAGCCAGCCTAGCCCGTAAGAGGCCAGCCTAGCCCCTAAGAGCCAGCCTAGACCCTAAGAGCCAGCCTAGCCCCTAAGAGCCAGCCTAGCCCGTAAGAGCCAGCCTAGCCCCTAAGAGCCAGCCCTAGCCCGTAAGAGCCAGCCTAGCCCCTAAGAGCCAGCCTAGCCCGTAAGAGCCAGCCTAGCCCTAAGAGCCAGCCTAGCCCGTAAGAGCCAGCCTAGCCCCTAAGAGCCAGCCTAGCCCCTAAGAGCCAGCCTAGCCCCTAAGAGCCAGCCTAGCCCCTAAGAGCCAGCCTAGCCCGTAAGAGCCATCCTAGACCCTAAGAG